GGAAGCTGGTTCAGTCCAGCTCGCATCCACTTGTCTCAGGATGAATGTCACAAAGACGCCCTCTGAGAGCACAACCAGTTTGGTGTCTAATTCTTTAACCTCAGTATCATTCGGAGTTGATGATATCAAACTATTTCCCCTCCAGTTAGTCCTAACGGCTAATTAGACTAACGGATGCAACTGAACATTTTACACTTGATACTTGAACATAATTTAATGGGATGGCCCTCATTCTATTATTCCTCCTACTGAGATAGCTATTATCCATCACTGCCCATTAAGAGAGATAGTAGTGCTGCTGTTGTTCATCCGGATTTTTACAGGTAATTCTAAAGATCAGTGTCCAAAGAGGGTAGAAGTTTCATCACATGCTGTTGTGCCCACTGCCCTTCCTATTCAGCAGAGATGCCGTAGCTCGATTGCCCTTGCTGGAACAGCGTCGACTCAGCCAGAGTAAAACCAAAAGCTGGGATTGACATCACAGATTAATGAAGATTACATGCAGCGATTACTGGCCACGGGATGAATCGTGATGACCTCATGTCCCATCAGAAGGCAATAAATCAGGAGATGTCAGTGGAACTCTCCGTGGAGGAGTCGGGAACAGGGAGGTGGACGTTCAGGTCACCTATCAGTGACATGGGAACAGAAATGGCTCAGGGTTACAGGCTTTTTATAGGTTGTACACATCTATGAATTTTCTAGTTATTGCGTGATGGGTATATAAAAAATAAACAGCTCCCAGGAGTAATTCTCAGAGCTCAATCAACATTTGAGGTCCTTACTTTCCCCAAGAGTCAATCAAACGTCAGATCCACAATGCAGACTCACCCCTCCATTGATACCTCATTGTTGGCAGACTGGGATCTCCCACGGGATTACACACCAGGCCTGGATCTCACATTCTTGGTATTCTTCGAATGCAAACGCGCTTATCACCCCACATGCAGAGGGCTGACCCCTCTTTTGAAAAAGAAGCGTGCAGATCCCATGCTTAGTGACCCCAACCTGCCCCGGCTTCCACTTCCCACTGCCACCTCTTTCTGTTCCCTTTCCCTCTTTTTAATTCCACTGGCCACCTTCCCATCCACCCCTCATCTGGCGTGGGAACCTACACCTGTGGCTCTCCCCAGACATCAACACCACATCCTCTTCACCAAAATGGCCTTTTGTGATGACTCAAATACCTGAATTCAGTGAATTGATGAGGTTTGGTGCAAAGATGGAACTGTTACATCATTTTAAGATTCACTGAGTACATGACGCATAAACATCAAATTTTTTTTTTTTCACCATGCCCCCCTTCTTGACTTGAAAACTAGGATTTCTCTGAGTAAATCCTCTAATCCATTAGGGGAAGGGCTGGGTTGGGTTTTTGAGATTTGATTGACAGCGGATTCTTCGGGGTCTCTGATAAAGTATCTCAAAGTGTCTGATGTAGCTGATGTGTGTATTGTGTTGAGAAAGTGGTAGTTTAATGAAATTAGGATATTTTCTGTGGTGTGTGTGTGTGTGTGTGTGTGTGTGTGTGTGTATATAAGATTAAGACTCGTGCAATAACCACTAGCAGCTTCTTTTTTTTTTTTTTTTTTTTAAACTTTGCCCATGCAACTGTCCAGCCCAGGCTCGGCAGCACACATGCTGACACTAATTGTCCTCGTGCTGACTGTGTCTCTTCATGGACAATGGTTTTGATTGGGATGGGGGTGAGTTATGATGTTGGGACAAGGGTCTTTGTTCAGTAGCCTTTCCCCCTTCCCTCCCCCACACCTCCCCTTTATCCCCCTGCCCATCCATCTATCTTGTTCGAACCATTTGGGCAGCTGTCACTTAATCCAGCTAATCAGAGTGGGATGGTCTGTGGGAAACCAGACCGTGGTTTTGCTCAACCCAAACATGCACTGACTCGGGGAACTATTTACCCAACCAATTACAACATGTAGGCATTCAAGCAAGACTGGATTTTAGGCAAACCCAAAAGGTGGAGGTCACATTATGGCCACCGGTTCTTTCTCTGCTCTTTTGATTCTGCCACACTTGCATAGTCTCCTGATACAGGCAGGCATCATCCACTAATTCATTCATTGCCACTCACAGTTCCTCTTGAATGCATTGGCAAATGCACACACCCACCCACATGCTCAGACTGGGGCAGCTAGCCCACCCTTTTGTGGTGGGGGGAGGGGGAATGGGTGGAAAGGTCAGAAGCCGAGCTACATGTCGTGGGATGATCCACGTTCATGTCAAATAAACCATCTTTGAGGCTGCGTCTGTTGTGCGTCTGCGGTTGGACATGTTGGCAGAGCTTCTGGAAACGGCAGCGCAAACGTCGCCCTTCGCCAAAACCCCCAGACTCACCATACTCTTATCTTCTCACCCACCTCACTTACCCCTGTCTGGGTTTGGCCTGTCACGTATTACCGGTAGCTACAGTCTTATACAGCTGTACCCCCTTCTATGTCAAAACTATGATCCCAAGCCCTTTAGCTCACCCCTCTCCTGTCATCTTCTATCCCCTTCTCTTGTCACCCATGGTCTTTCACAATAACACCCCCCTCCCGCCACCACCCACAGCCAGACAAGCCTACTTAATCCCGCAGCCCAGCAGCAACCAGCCTACCAGCTTGTTGGTCCCCCACATCAACAACACAGACTGACACACACACACACACATTTTCCAATCCCCCTCCCTGTGATTTCTCTTTCCCGCTTCAATGGGGCATTGAAGTCTCTCAATTATTTGCCTTATGCTTTTTTTTTTTTTTTTTTTTCTCCTTTGTACCACCACCCTCAGGCCAACATCCTATCAATGACAGTACAGTAGAGGTCACAGCAGTCACACTGTGGCTACTACAACTGTCACTGGTAGTGACGTAATGAGTGTTATTTAGGTCAGCTGGTTGCCTAGCAGTGTGCCCTGTAGCACACCAGCTAGATTACTCTTGTGATGCTAGTTAGCTTGGTTAGTTTCCGTGTGCGTGTGTGTCTGCATGTGTTAATGTTTACTAAAACCAGTGTCGGCTCAGGCTTTTACATCATTGCAAACAATTTGACAGTTTGCATGTTTTCAAGAACAATCCGCCCCAATATCCAAAAAGTATCAATTAAAATCTGTACCTAATTTGTCTAAATGTAATTGACATAAATATAATTGCAATCATTCAAATTATATAATCATTCAAAGTTATGTTGCTAAATCATTAAGAATTGTTGTTCTTGTAAGCATGGTGATGTGTGCATTGGGAGTGGGGATGTAAAACAGAAAAATGCAGCAATTCATAAATGCCTTAAAGCATTGATTAATTATATTTATTCATTAGTTTCTGTTCCACTAATTAATTAATTAATAAACTAATCATTTCCACACAGTAAAACATATTCATCAATGCACCACTCCTGTTATACTGGTCAACTGTTATACTGATAATCTCCTTAGCTGCTGATTTATCTCGCTGTCTGACAACCAAGGACAAAGCCAGGCAGAGTTCATCTTACACAGCTAATATTGGCAAAGTGACCTTCTTAATGGACATCCTACCTGCTGAGGCTTCATTTTCTTTCCTGAAATCGTGGCGGAAGACCACCAACCTTTTAACAGCCTTTGTTTGTGGAAGCGGAAAGCTGAAACACTGGATTTCAGTGGTGGTTTTTCAGAAGACATCAGGTCTAGAGAGTTGGTAGAACATAAACCAATAATCCCAATTATGATACCGTGTTAATGCATCAGTTGCGAACATTCAGTAGCTAGCAGCAGTTATAATGAATAGATATATTTCAAAGAAATCGTTCAATAGTTTTTCTTTGTATGTTTATATTGGTTTTAGATACCATGACATCACAACCTGTGTTTGTGTTTTTTTTTTTTTACCATGAGGTTGCCGGACAAACCAACTCGGACTCCAGGCAGTCCAGGTCGAGAAAGTCCAGCACAAAACACTATCTTTAGAGGTGCTGCCAGGCTAGCGGTTTCTTTTGTTTCCAGTCTTTATGTTAAGCTAAGATAGCTATTCACCTCCTGGCTCATATTCAGCATACAGACATGAGAGTGGCATCAATCTTTTCATGAAATTCCTAGTTCCCATTTGTTTTTGCATGATGTGTAAAATGTCCGATCGTAAATATTTAGTTATTATTACATGCACCTTCACCAGGACTATCTTTGTGCATCCATGGCCTTTTCCTTAGTTGAACTCCATCACAAATCTCAGTGCCAGGATGTTTGGTATCAAAGCTTCAGGGTAGGTGCAGGTTCATACTACCACATTGCGTTCTGAGCCAGAGGAATGTTGGTAGAGCTGAACCAGTTTGCTGGTCCCTTGTGTCCTCTCCACATCTCAGTCCTGCAGCTTCTCTTGGCTTCTTTCCACAGTTGTACTATCCTGCTCTCTTATCTTTTGAATCATTGGGTTTCATTGCCAGAGTAACTCAAGCGCAACTCAGAGTAACGGGGCCAAGTTGCATACAAGACTCTGTAGTAGCGATGAAATTGAATTTTGCATCGTGTGTAGAATGACTTGCAGAACTATGGCTGAAATGATCATCCACAGTATTCTCTCTCAATTATAAACACATTGTGATAGTTGGTTATGTTTACTCCTCTGCAAATTTGGGAACCAAATTACAAAGGCCGATTGTTAACTGTTCCTTTTTTGTAGCGGACAATAGACGAGGCATCATGTAGTTCTCAAGCACTAAATGATCAAGTCTTTTATTCTTTTGATGTAATTTGGATTGAAGTATTCGAATATTTACACAAAGATATTAGAAATGTAGCTATGCTTAATAGTTGCAAATGTTTCTTTGTGCTTAATATCATTCCTACTATGCGTTCGCTCTATGGGCAGCTTGAGACATTGTTACTCCAATGGACACCAGTCTAGTCGCTGAATTACCTGCACATGAATGAGCAAACTCCTACACCTTTTGTTGTGGACATGAAGAGAGAGATGCTATTTCGTCCAAATATCACTTGACTAATTTATTTTTTCCTTTCCCTCCAGCGGATGTACACGTTGATTGTAGAGGCCTGGGACTGGGACAACACCACGCGCAACAGTAAGTCTAAACTTCACACAGCTCTGTGTGGTGACTTCTATAAACTGATTCTGGCGGTTTTAAAGGATTTGCAGTAAGGTTCCTAGATGGACTGTTTGCGTGCCATATTGTTGTCAATTTTGCAAAAGCGAAACTGGTGGTTTGCAGATATGAATCTATTACTCACTCAACAGAAAAATGTATCTTAAATCATGTATTGCTGCTTCAAAATGTGCTGGTTTCTTTTTTTTTTTAATTTGAATGTCACTGGAATATTCTGAGGGATTATTTTCTGACATTTAATAGACCAAGGAATTTATCCAGCAATCTACGTCCATCTGCAGAAGAATTGATCATTTACATAATTGTTAAAATAGTTTGAAGAGTTAAACTCCATCATGAATGTGAGCCTTCCTGTTCACATCTTCAAATCAATGAATGGGTTTTTGTGTTTTCATTTTGTAAATAGAAACTAAATTTCTGTTTTTAACACTATAGGTTTACAGGTTGAAAACATTGTACTGTACACTGTAGCCCCCGAAATGCTTCATATAGAATTCCCGTCTTGGTTCTTCTCGGCTGTGTTGGCTGTGGCCGTCAGGTCTGACCAGCTGTATCCTGTTTTCCTTTGGTTATGTCCGCTGTGTGGACTCCTGTATAACCCCTTTATCCCGTCTGAGAGGTAGCCCAGTCTGGGAGGAAGAGGACCCATTGAGGACTGCATGTCTGGATGTGCGGAAGTAGCTTTGATCTGTGGAGACGGTGGCATTTTTCACGAGTCTCTTCATGCCTTTCTGTGCATTCAAGAGTGTACGTGAACGCATTTATAGTCGGGACCATACTGTCCTGTCCAGTTCAAACTGGCTCCTTATTTATATGAGGTCATTACATCCTGTTTTGTCCATAACATCAAACGCACTTCCACCCGTGAATGCAGACAATGGAGGAGAAATAGATTTTGACATCATAGCGCTTTGATTAGACTGCAGCAGTTGTCGTTTCTGCCGGTGGGCCTCCACTAATTGTGTACATTTACAGTAATTACTTCTGATGAACCTTAAAAGTTCCTTGAGAAACAATCCAATTGATTCTCTGCCAGCTACAGGCACTTAAGTCTCAACCAAATGTCTATAAATTGGCAAAATAAATGCATTTCAGATGTAAGGATACAAGAAATATGAAGCACATTTTCATCACTTCCAGTTTGATTCATTTCACTGGCATTAAATGAGAAGGGGAACACGTTCCTTGCTCTTATCTCAAAGTATAGAAGGAATGTGATAAAACGTTTGACCTTTTGAAGCTCACGCAGGTTTGAGTCATTCTGTGTTGGATGCTGTTTGAAAGCCGCATTGAGCCTGATGTTAGGTCACAGACATCAGCTGACTTCAAACTTTGTCATGGGTCAAGAAACGCAAACGTCTGGAACAAATGCTTCTTTTGACCCCCGTAAGAGATCACAAGGGAGTCTGCTTGTAGATGGAAACTTAAGCGTGAAGTCTAATGGCTAAAATCTAATTGTAAATCAAGAAATCTGTCTGAATGTCCTTTGCATTTCTTGAACAGTTCAACCAGTCTTCTTAACACTTGGTAGTTGTCTTGGTGAGGACCAAAGGGGGTGCTGTGTCAAAGTTGGTACAGTTTGGACTCTCGACACATTCAATATGAAGAAACCAGCAAACAGCGCTCTGTGCAGCGGCGAGGCTTCAGGCCTCAGCTGACCGAGGCTACGTACACATCACGGGTGACACAGCAAAAAGGCTAGAAGTCTGTTTCAATGGAAGCCGGTGACTCAAAGCGACGAACTGCCGCTTGACAATTGCCAATTGTCGCCAGGTGACCGGCGTGACGTTCAACGAATCACAGTTGAGCTGGTCCCCACTTTTTTTTTTTTTTCAACGCTCCAATGAGGCGGTGCAGTGTCGACCGATCTATGTTTTGACATAACTACGTCAACGAGCGCTTGAGCAACACTTTAACGGCAACTCGCCGACATGGTAGCTGGCCATGTTGCTCGTAGTCTGAACACTGCATGAGTCGAGCATGTCTCTTCTGTTCTCTTCCCTGGAGTCAACGAGTGACGAGCTGTTCTAAACAACGGTGCAAGCAGCACTCCCGGGGCCTAACGGCACTGTTGCCTCTAAAGTATTGTACTTTACAAAGCTTACGGAACAAACCCTGTCAACTCATGTCGCAGTCAATGAAGACATTATCATGTTCAGTAACTGCAAAATGTAAATTTTACTATTTATTTGGTGTATATATAGTTTGGCTCTACAAGCCTGCTGTGTGGTTGTTAGTTAATTACCTGGTAGCACTGCGGACTAGATGTCCGCCGATTTCCTCCAGTCAAACTCGATCAGCACAGGAATCGGCATGATCGGATCCGGCCACATCTTGATGCCATATACAGTATAGTGAGCCTGTTGTCAAAAATATGTACTGTACATGGGCTTTTTGATTACATTTTGAAAAAGGTTGGAATAATTTACAGCAGGCGGCTCGAAAGAGTGAACATCCAGCTAAAGACAGTGTAGTTGTCTGACCACATCCTGAGGGATCAGTCCTAAACTGCAGGACAGAAGGTGTACAACGGCTAGAATCCGGTACTTTCATGGCACACCAGACGACCATTGTTGTAATGCATATCTCTTATGATATGGAGAAGTCTTCCCTGTTGCATTTTGTTGGAATTGTCATTTTTGAAAATGCATTTCATTCTTTCTCTGTCCTCCTCTTGTCTTTGTCGCCATCTCATCCCAAGTAAAAAAAAATCTGTGTGAATTGACAGTAAACCACTGAGGTGAGGCACGGAAAGAGACATGTTGAAGTACATGACGGTGTGTGTCCGTAAGACATTGAAACTTGTTTTCTGGCCTGAGTCAGCACCAGCCTGCCGTCTTGTGCTACCAGTGAGTTGGTCTGTCAGTGAGATTCCTCTCCTCCGGCGTCACGTCCTCCAGTGTACTTCTCTTCCTTTCCCCCTTGTGTCCTCAGGAAAGGCAGCCGGCTGTTTTCCTTGTGTTTATCGAGCAGGAAGTGGAGTGGACTGGACGGCCGGGCTCAGTGTTTAGACACCGAGGTAGCAGAGCCCGGTTTGGGCCCGGAGCCCATTGTTCTCTATCTGGCAACTGCCGGGGTTATTTCTGTTATTGTTGCCTAATTCTGTCTGACATTGTGTCAGTCCCCCAGCAGAGGAAGGTGTGTGTGCATGTATTTGTGTGTGTGTGTGTGTTCCTGCTTGCTCACTTCAAAATGTCTATGGTGCATTGCAGCCCAAAGCCAGGGAGAAAGAGGAAATCGCAGCAGACCCCCTATTTCCACAGAGATTGTTTGCCAGCTTCGATCCCACTGTGATAAAGATTGCTTTGCTTCTGGAAGCCGGCGCTGCAGCGAGCCCCACAGAGGCAAACCATGTTCAATGTGAGCGTTGGCGTGCCAGAGGCTAAATGGTAGCAGCAACCTCCCGACATGACTGTGCACATACAGACGGCTCAGAGGCACCGCTGATGTGTGCCGTCACCAGAAAATAGATCAATTTGAAGACAATTAATTTCAATTGCGTACTTAAAATTCAGAGGGTACTTTCCACACGCACGCATATAATATGATATCAAAGCATCTGTCTGCTCAATAAGAATGCACTGCTTTTCCTCTGAGGGAGTGACTTTACATCCGAACAAAGGAGATTCCACATCGTTTTACGATGTCTGTGTTTCATATAGAAGATTGACAACATGCAGTTGCGAGGACTCGTTTCTGAATGTTAACTTGTAGTGTCATGTTCTTTGATAGATAGATTTTCTGCTAAAGGTCTTGAGCCAAGATGCTCACCTATCCAAATTCTGATTCATCTCATTAGTTCATGACAGCCCAAGCAAACTTTAGTCGTGCAACCTGCAATGCCAGGTTTCTTTGGCCCCTTGGGGGGCAGCAGAAATGAGTCGTGAGCACAACGTTGGCATATTATCAGCTTTTAAGTTGATAGGGTGAACTTGTTGGCAGACAGTTGCTTATTTATACTTCCAGTACTTAAGGAGCAACACTCACTTTCATTTGTAATAGTGGCGCAAAGGATGATAAAATTCACAGATCAGATCAGCACTAAAGTAAAAACGGAGCGATATAACTTTTAGAGATCCCTGATCACGTTTTTTTGCCGCCAATATTAAATTGCCGATCATTGATGATCCATATTGGCAGATACAGATCCCTTTGTTGTTTGATTATAGCAGCTGGTGTTAAAGGCTCCACACTATTTCTTTTTTTTGCCACCTTCCCAAAATTCATTTTGTAAACCATCAAAAATTAGAAATGTTATCCTTTTACTTTGTTATAGTCATCTATACTTTTTCTTCATAGAATCACACAATTCAAATAAGGCAGTAAAAGATTGCATTTTAAATAGATTAAAACAGATCTTGTCATTAGTAGTTGTAATGGTGTATTATAATCTGCTTGGAGTAAACGGGTTATAATTCATCTCTAATATCTATTTATGTTTTTGAAAACATCTCCTGGAATTATTCAAGTTTCTCACCAACACTACATTTTACGAGATTACTTGAACGCATCATGATAACGTCATAATTTACCTTTGCCCAATCCTCAGAGCCTGAACGCATCATAATGTAACCGAATGGAGCTTTTTGGATTGTATCCAATTCTAAAAGATTCTCATGGACGATGAGGTTCACTGGATGTTGATGATAACAACATTTCATTTTATCATATTGTGAGGACAAGGTGTACTAAGGGTATAAGGAGGGAAATGAGTCTTCTGTAAACGTAATAATCTAGGATCGGTCTTTTCCTTATTCAGTGTGGCAGGTGATTTGTAAGTGGAGACGGGGATATTTTGAATGTTTTTACCTTCTTGGTTCTGTTGTCTCATCTAAACAAAAATATTCATCACTTTGACACGGCTGATTTGTCTTCATCTGTTTTATGTTTCAGTTGAGGACGAGCTGCTGATCGAGCGCAGCATTCACACTGGTATGATCAACCCCGGCGACCAATGGCAAACCATCCTGCACGACGGGCCAGTGGCTCGCCTCGTCTATCGCATCAGAGTGCGATGCGACGAAAACTACTATAGCAACAAGTGCAATAAGCTGTGCGTTCCTCGGGACGACTACTTTGGCCACTATCGCTGCGAGCCTTCAGGAGCCCGGGTGTGCCTGGATGGCTGGATGGGCTCAGACTGCGGGACAGGTGAGCTGCAAATGTCCAGTAATTGTAAAAAGTTCAACATTTGAGCTTCTCAGATGTGAGGGTTGGCTGCTTTTCCTTGTGGCATTTGATGGTACACTGAATATTTTTGGGGTTTTCACGACTGTTGCGTCAAAATAAATCACAGAGAGATCGCTACATTCTATTTTAGACGCAGAATGATGAATTAATTAATAACATAATCACTAGTACGTCGCCATACTTCTTTCTATTAACAAAGCAGCGTATGCTAGCCTCCTACAGTTTTTGGATGCAACTATTTGAGAATTTGTTGAACATTTTAACGACTTCAAAATTGACTTCAAATCTGTAGATTATGTAATTAACATTAGCTGCAGCCCTATTTTTCAACTCTATCGTAACGTGCTCAGATTATTTGCTGGATAAAATGTTATTAAAAATCTTAAATTGAACATGTCATCTGATGTACTGCACTCGTTTGAGTCGTATCAATTTAAGTAAATCCAAAGCAATTGTCAGAGTACCATTTTGAAAAGCATGCCGGAAATGCGACGTGCGCTGCCTGCTTGTGTTGAAACATGGCAGTGTTGGAGTCGTGCTTGTGGGTGGTGTCGGAGAGAGCGGGGGGCCTCAATAAATCAGCCAACTGACCTTAGAAGATGAAGGGTGAAAAGAGGAGGGGAGAGGGGCTGGGTTGTTTTTAAGAGGGGGTCGTGTTGGACATACAGGCTATAAAGTTGTCTCTTCCTCGACCCCAAAACCCTGGTCAGGGTGCCATGAATTCTCGCGTCTCGTTGCACTTGTTAGAAAGATGGCAAACAAACGAGCTTCCCCTTCTCCCACCTTTCCATATCGTTGCTTCCCTTCTTATCTCCCCCCCCCTCTCTCTGGGAAGAAATGTAATGATACATGTCTCCCAATGGAATTTAATTGTCACCTTTTTTGAATTACTTCTCTCCGTCTTCTTGCTTTTTCTCAGCGATCTGCAAACAAGGCTGCAACCTGTTATACGGCGGCTGCTCTGTCCCGGGGGAATGCAAGTAAGATTAGCAGGAATATCCGTCTCTTTCATGTACAGAAATCTGACTGCTCCATCCTTTTTCTTTTTTTTTTTCCATCAGTATCTTCAATTTTTTTTTACTGCTTTGTGTTTAGATCTATCATATTATGCATGCAGTTAGTTTATTTTTGTTTGCTTTGGTCTGTTTGTAATAGAGCCATGTTTTCTATATTCAGAATATGAGCAAAAGTCGAGCTCAATGTGTGAAAGACAAAAGAATGATGGAATTCAGCTGCTAAACCGAGGCACCTTTACTCGTCGTAGCCTGGTGTTTCTTGGTGTCAGCCTTTTCCTTCCCTCGTGGGCATCGCCACCTCGGTTCAGAAGAAAAGGGCAATGCCGCGCCTGCCTTCTTGTATTTTTAGCCACCTGAAATCCTCTACAGAATACCAAGCGCCTCATCCGCTCTCTGCTGCTCAGACTGAAGTAAGAGAGTCGTTGGGTGTGTGTGAATTTGACCACTGGTAAACGTGCTGGGAATTGTCATATCCCCATCCGCATTGCAGTCCTCCTTGAGGGGCAGGAAAGGAAATGAACATCCCACTGTGTTGTGTACATCTCCCAAAGTGGAAATGACCGTTGGATAAAGTGACGTAGAATTGCCCCGTAGGTCCACGTTTTCCAGGATGTGGTACATCCCGTCCTCATTTGTAAACCCCCTCCTTTCACCTGCCAGATGGAAAGAGACACTCCACTCCCATTATTAGGAAGCCGGGTTTGGCTCGGAGCCGAGGAATAACGGGGGATGACCAGTTTTGCGGAAAACCTTCGCATTTTTTCGTGTCTGCCTCGTTCAGCATCCTGATTCCAGTTAGTAGGCAGACTGCAGAGGGGCACACGGCTTATTGTCCCCAAAAATGTCAAGTCCCAGTCAACAGGAGAAGTGAGATGAATAGAAGAGCAGCAGTAAAGAATCTTCCTGCAGTGGCATGAATTTAATGAAGCCTCAGGTCAGAGAAAGCTGGTATTAAATCCCTCGCTGTTTCCTTTCACTGCCTCATCACAGTTTTATGGGGTTTGCCAAGGGCTTTTAAGAAACACACACTGATACGTGCCTGCTGTTGTTGCGCTGCTGCATTGGTGCTTTTTATTAGCACACATTAGGCTTGTTCTGACATATCTGTCGGAGGCTTGTCGTGTCACTTGGGGTAAGCTCTGCAACACATTTTTCACCACTCTAAGCGCTTTGCAAACTTTTGACGCGTAAAAGTGCCAAGATGTTGGAATCCAGGTGAGAGGAAACATCACGCCCACACCCGCCAGGGGTTGAGTAATCGTGATATCAATGTGGCCAAGAATTAAACCACAGAATGCCTCTTTTGATAGTTTAAAGGGCAATAAGCGAGTCTCCTTTTTTTTTTTTTTTGTTAGTGCGATTGCCACATTGCTGTCACGTTGCCCTCTGAAGCTAATCGTATACAGTGGAAGAAGCATGCCAAGTATTCCCCGATGCCTGAGAATGGCCGAGGAGGCCTCGTCTCTCCGATAGACAGCGGTGCCGTCTGCAGGAGACTCAAAATGGCAGTCAATTGACAAGACAGCTGGCCCGAACGACACCACAGCCTTGGAATAGCCGAGCGCTGTCGTGACGCTGCAGGCACGTGGGCACGTACGCTGTATACGCACACAGTCGTCTCCAGCCACTCGCTCTCGGAACCGCCGTGCCACCCTCGTAGCCCTTGGCCCCAGACTCTAACCCGAAGCATGGGGAGCCGCTGGAAGTATTCTTAACCCCTCCTGCCTTGGAATGTCACCCTCCACGAAGATTAGTTGGCAGGAGGGCCATGGGATAGGTTGACACACGAGCAGATGCAGTATGAGGTGCGTTTCCACTGTTGGGCAGGTTGTCGAGGAGGCTCTCTTTGTTCCTTTTGCACGTTTAGCAGCTCCTGCAGCTAAGTGGTTTGAGTCATGAATCGGTGCCTCTTGCCACAGACTTCATAATAAATGTTTCTTATAAAACAACTTCATTTATTGGTTTCTTTTGAGAAACTTGGCTTTTTTTTTGGCAGCTTCTCACTGGACTTGAACACAGTCGTTGAGACCTTTTTTTAAAAATCTGATCGGTTCTCAGAAAACAGGAAACTCCCTGGATTATTATTACTTTATCTTCCAGTGATCAACTGAGAGTAACGAATCATGTGTTTTTATTAGGTTACATTGACTTTGTTTCTTTTTGTTGTCCCTGTAGAACATTTAGAAAACATAACTCTGTAATGGAAGTTTTATGCCATTCTTAGAAGGCCTTTACTATTAACTCGGTGTAAAACTGTTGGATGATTTTTTTTTTAATACATAATTGAAGGTGTTGGTGATGATGTGAAGTCCCACACAATAAAAAAACATTTTAATATTTCAATGTTTAATAGCTACGACCGCTTATTTAACTTTTGCTTTTTTTCCAGAATATAAAAAACGCATTCATAATGCCAAGACTGTCTTGATCTGTTGTTTTTTTTTAAGAGAATGTTCTTATGATTTAAGAGGGTGCGAAGAAATAAACAGCCAATGAAATAGAAAGCGGGGATGCCTCAGAGAGCAGGTAAAGGGATTAGACGAGTGAAATGATGTACGCGTCTGTTTGACAGGTGTAACTACGGCTGGCAGGGCCAGTTCTGTGATGAATGTGAGCTTCACCCCGGATGCGTCCACGGGACCTGCAATGTCCGGTGGCAGTGCAACTGCGAGACAAATTGGGGTGGCATGATGTGCGATAAAGGTATGGAAAAGTTTTTGTTTTGTTTTGTTTCGTCGCCTCCCACACAAGATGCTGGCAAAGCGCCTGCTCTCATCCTGCACGTTCTCTAACGCTACAGTAACTGCTGAAATACTGCTCCTGGTGTTCTTGTTGGAAGAAGGAAATAACGGGAGTAACAGGCAAATAGTGACGACGTTGATGAAATGTTCTTGGTTTTTTTTTACATTTTATAGATCAAACAATGAATTAGTTGCAAAAGTGTTCTTCGGGCACTTTTAGGTAGCGTAAGGAGAGACGTTCTATCAAAAGCCTTTATCTTGCTGGCATGTTGGTTCAAACGGCAGCTGGTTTCGACCTCACTTGTTCTTCATCCGGGTGGAACTGGCAAAAGTAAATAGGGAGGTGCTCTATATAGGAAAATACGTAGTAAGTTAACAAATAAAATACAGAGTAAACAACGATGACGGAAAATTTAAAGGATCAAAATGTCAAAGCAAATCATATCGCAGAGTATGTTCAATTTAAAAGATTTTTGGATCAGATAGCAAAATTTATGCTCCGTCTTTCAGATATCGGTGAATAAAGAAAATAATAATCACAATGATGGATCATGAATATTTTATGTTTTGCAAAATAAAAACAGTATTTAAAGGTACGTTAATGTACCTTCACATGAGGTCTGAGTTCTCTCTGACTCGAGAACAGCAGCTGGATAGTTTTACCTCCTGTGGCATCGGAGCAGCAGCAGGGACACTCAATCCCCCCCCCACATCCCTTCGTCACCGAGGGCTCTTCGGGGGATGAGAACGTGTCCTCAGATCCCCAGTGGAGACGGATCCCTGCTCTTTTATTTACCAGCCTGTAGGGTGACCTGGCCTTTACCCTAAGGATGGTGTGCAGGGATCAAATAGAGTTTCGTTGAGTTTCTTAGGTGTACGGAAGAAAAGGGACATCTAGGAGTCTATTCAGTCTAACTGAATATAAACTGCAACTTAACCACTTGGCTGGTGGATCTCGACAAGCTTGCAGGGAACTACCGGATAAAGTGGTGAAACGAGAGTTATCTCACGGGGTCGATCCAATTAACAAAGTCTGAAGGTGTGGAGCGATGAGGAGGCTAAAACGTTCCTCAGATTAGTACATGAAACAAACATCTGCATCATGTGTTGTACATCACTTTGGTGTGTTTCATTAAACTCTGTCCTCTCATTGCGCCCTCTTCTTTTCCAATAATTTAATGCCGCCCAACTGGAGAATGAGCGTCACCAGCTTGACGCTCCCAATTCCTAATAATCACATACGGGTAGTGTATTGAAACACAGAGCACATTAATTAGAAGTTTCTTGATGAATATATCTTCTCTAATTTGGAGATTTGGTCTAAAATGGGTGAAATCACTGAATTGGAGTCTTCGTGTCTCTAAATGTGTGTCTTCCTCCAGATCTGAATTACTGTGGTCGCCACCAGCCTTGTGTCAACGGAGGAACCTGCACCAATACTGAACCGGACGAGTATCACTGCGCCTGTCCTCAGGGATATTCTGGCAAAACCTGTCAGATAGGTGAGAGAGAACCCACACTAAAACCTGCACTGCGGTTTATGAAAGGCCCGTCACAAGAACTACGCTTGTTGAGCGACGTGTTGTCCCAGAATATTAGAGAACGATATTGTCTTCTTCAGACCATTTGATGCCACGAATATAATGATTATATAATAGCAAGTACACCCTGCCAACTAGCAATGAACTTTATATATTCAATATTCAGACTTTGGAATTTGAATTTTTAAATATAAAAATGTAAAACAACAAATAAAATGCACTCTTGTGCTCTGCTAACAAAAAGTCTTCTAGTTGTAGGGAATGTTGGTGATGGTCATTCAGAAAGAAATTTGCTGGTTTAAGCTTTTCAGATGTGAACATTTGCTGCGTTTCTTTGCCTTATGTGATTGTAAACTGAATATCATTTTGGATTTGAAGATTAAGAGATTGTCTCTGGCTCTGAGAAATTGTGATTTAGTCACAAATTTTTTTTGTTGATTTTGTCTATTTTATTGATCAATAAACAAGCATTAATTGAATCCTTAGTTACAATCCTAGCAGTGTCTTAAGTACTATTGTATAAAAGTATGACAAAGGATGCCCTATGTGATTATTGAAATGATTGAAGAAAATTGCTTACCGACAAAAAGCCCAATCTATAATCTGAATCTGTAAGAAAAAAGAGTGATGTTTTACTTTTCCCTTCTTTGAACTCTCCTCCCTCCCCTCCATCAGCCGATCACGCCTGTGTTTCCAACCCTTGCGTCAACGGTGGCGCATGCCACGAGGTTCCCACAGGGTTCGAGTGCCGGTGTCCGCCGGGCTGGGAGGGTCTGACCTGTGCCGACAGTGAGCCCCTGCACTACTCTCAATCATCTCTACTTCTTCCATCCTCAGATTTGCACTTACATCTTTCACTCTCAGCCTCTTCTTTTTTCATCCTTTTCTTCCAAACATCCACTAACTAATTTAGAGATTGACGTTTTACTTCTTAACTAGTCTATGCCCTCTTACCCCCAAACCTGTCGTCTCTCTCCTCCTTGTCCTCTTTCACCATCATCTTGTTAAAGTCTAACTCAAGTCCAACACAAATGTTGCATGTAGTTAGAAATAAACAGAAAGTGAGTTGAGGTGTGTTCTTTTTTTCAGATTTGGACGAGTGTGCCTCCAGTCCATGTGCTCAGGGTGGAACCTGTGTCGACCTGGCGGATGGCTTCGAGTGCGTGTGCCCTCCACAGTGGGAGGGAAAGACCTGCCAGATAGGTGAGATATCAACACAAACATTTTATTTTACCAGAGTCGGTTAAAAAAAACAGTACTACCCGTGTTCAGGATTTCAGTTCTTTGGCAAACAACTCTTCATTTCTCCAGGGAAGACGTGTTTTTGCAGGAGTTTCTTTCCGTTTCCTAAAAAAAATAAAATGACCTCGGAGACACTGCTCAGATGTGTTTTTGGATTTAAATTGGCAACCAGCAACCTGAGGTCCATTGCCAGAGTACAAGCTATCAATATCCTGGATGTGCTGGCAGCTGCCCTGCTCTTTTCTTTTTTTTTTTTCTCAATGACTTTATGAGCTACTAGTGTGTCTATATCCGGCTGTTTGTTTGTCGCTGTCTGTGGCATTCGTTTTTACACTACGCCTACCGTCCCAACAAGCGGACGTGACCAGCGTGAAGCCAGGAAATGGATTACGACCGGTAAACAAAGTTAGTGTGTGTGTGTGTGTGTGTGTGTGTGTGTGTGTGTGTGTGTG